ACAAATGAGGTCTCTTAGAATCAGGCCTAAAAATCTTTTTATACTTCAGCAAGAATGCTGTACAGATAGCTGTCAAGAATGATCACTGCTGGTAATACAACTCTCTCTCTTTCCTAGCATTAATCCCACATCAACAGGGTCTGCTTGTCGGCACACCAGTCTCCATTTGGTGGTTTGAACCAAATCTTCGAAACGTTGTTTTGAAGTGCCATCAGCCCGTCAGAGTGGGAGGAGAACAAAGTAATGTAGCCAATTCATAGAGGGGGATTATTAGGAGGTATGGGAAATATGGCCAGGACGCTGGGGTAACACTCTTTTCGGGAAACACCCTGGGATTTTTAATGACCACAGAGAGTCAGGACCTCGGTTTTACGTCTCATCCGAAGGACAGCACCTGTTTACAGTATAGTCTCCCCGTCACTATACTGGGGCATTAGGACGCACCTGGACCACAGGGTGAGCGCCCCCTGCTGGCCCCACTAACACCTCTTCCAGCAGCAACCTTAGTTTTTCCCAGGAGGTCTCTTATCCAGGTACTGATCAGGCTCACACCTGCTTAGCTTCAGTGGGTTGCCAGTTGTGAGTTGCAGGGCGACATGGCTGCTGGCGCTACTGCTGGTAATACAACAACGGCATAATAATAATAATAATAATAATAAATGCTTACTTATATAGTGCTTTTCTGAACACTCCACTGAAAGCGCTTTACAGGTAATGGGGACTCCCCTCCACCACCACCAATGTGCAGCCCCACCTGGATGATGCAACAACAGCCATAGTGCACCAGAATGCTCACCGAACATCAGCGATCAGTGGGGTGGAGAGCAGAGTAATGAAGCCAATTTATGGAGGGGGATTGTTAGGAGGCCATGATTGGTAAGGGCCGATGGGAAATTTGGCCAGGATGCCGGGGTTACACCCCTACTCTTTTCAAGAAATGCCCTGGGATTTTTAATGACCACAGAGAGTCAGAACCTTTGTTTTACGTCTCATCCAAAGGACGGCGCCTTTTTACAGGTAAGTGTCCGCATCACTGTACTGGGGCATTAGGACCCACATAGACCACAGGGTGAGCGCCCCCTGCTGGCCCCACTAACACCCAAGTATCACTTCGGCACAGTCATCATGTGGGAGCTCTGCTTTCAAGAGTTACAATCATAAAAATGGTTTATGCTGTCACAAACATTATAAAGCCATAGAAATGTAATAAACTTTAGTGTGCTATATAGTAATTCACACTGTGAAAACTGTGGGAATTAAACAGAAGAGTTTCTGTAGATTAATTATAATTTATGGAATGCAAGAGCAAAAAATGTGTCATATATTAAGTGAAATGAGATAACAGTGAGTGTGAGATTGTACAGCGATCAATAGGCACAAGGCAGTGGTGTGCATTTTACAGGACCAACAAGTGGAGTTTGTAAGCTG